ATTAGGCTGTTAGAGCAGATTTATTCGGTACAGCAGTGATGCATCAGTCTGAGTGTTTTCAGTATCTAAATCTTTTTTCTGTGATATAGATTGTTTTTGTTTTCACAAACAAGTAACATTTCTATTTAAAAATAAATATAAATCTACATCTGTTAATATCAGTGTGCTTCTTCCTACAGCTAATACAGTGAAATCCATGCTGCAGCAGTTTGACAGCCAGCTCAGTGCAAAGGATTACTTCCTTCACGATCAACAGAGCAAACTGAATGAAAAAGACAAAGTCATTCTCAGTCAGAAGACGGAGATAGAACGACTGGAGAAAAAGTCCAAAACGTTGGAGTATAAGGTGCTGTCTTCTTTCTACAACTGACACAAAACACATGTTCTTGGAAATGTGCATTCAGTTAATTTTCTTTTAAATAATGGCCTGCATTTAACTGTTTGTGTACGCTGCTCGTCTTCAGATCGATATCCTGCAGAAGACGACGGACATGTACGAGCAGGACAAACGTGCACTTCAGCAGGAGCTGGAGACCCGGGAGCACAGGCTACAGAGCGAGCTGTCAGAGAGGAAGCGCATGGAGCAGCGCATGCAGGGCGCAGTGACGGACACCAGACTAAAGTGGGAGAAGGAGTGTGTAAGTGGAGTTGTTCACTGTTTTGAGCCATTAGGATATCAGGTATTGTAAATAATTTTTCTGCAATCAAACGTTAATTTGCACAATTATAAGTTATATTTTACAATTGCATTTCAAATATGCATTGAGAGCCCTACTGTTTGGAAACATTTGTATGGGTACACACGGAGATTAACCCACATAATCTACCAAAACATGAACAGTGCAATGTAATTATACTAAACTCCACTTTGTAATGTCCCTCAGATCGTTCATGTAAGTTTGTAATTCCAATTGTTAGATATGACACGATCAAATAAGACTTTAAATATTTTCTTGTCCATGGTTTCTGATTAGGAGAGACGGGTGAACGCAAAGCAGCTGGAGATGCAGAACAAGCTGTGGGTAAAGGATGAGAAGCTGAAGCAGCTGAAGGCCATAGTGACGGAGAGCAGCAGCGGTGGCAGCGCTCCCACTGAGCGTCCAGAGAAGCCCGAGAGGCCCTCAAGGGAGAGAGATCGAAACATCCAACAGAAGAGGTCTCCCTCTCCATCACCACTTCCTGTGAGTTATTTGCTGATGCTGCATGTTTCGCCAATGTGCACCTAATCATTCTGTCAACCCGATTGAATCAGCATGTTTCTAATCATTGTGAAAATCATGAACAGGAATCCTGACATGTATACGCTTACTGGTTACATCACTTTGTTTTCTACTTTGTCTGTTGCTCTGTTGTGAATTTGTGTTAATCTGGAGCACCTAACATCCACAATACCTCATCCCTTTCAGGATTTCAGCCAAACTCCTTCCCACCAAAATAAAGCCAGAGTTAGGGTGTTTCAGGACCCCACCTCCACACCATCCTCCTCTGACTATTCTTCAGTAGCCTCCAGCATCTCTAGGTGGGAGCAGAGGTTCCCTGTAGATTCAGGCAGCCAGAATAGGTTCACCGGGACTCCCCAATGCAGGAGCCGGACTCCGGCCACATGCCACAGCACCAGCAGTGTTGGTCACAGGAGAGGCCAACGCAGGGCCCCAGGCACTGAGGTCCCTGCCACCACTCTTGTCTATGGACTAGACCTAGAGGCAGGCACAAGGGTCAGTGTGTGCTAGAACCTAGATGTTCATCTCTGTGAGCCTGTAGTTTAAGCTTCGCCTTGGTGTAGAACTGCATCTGTAATTCCAACAGCTGTCGCCTTGTTTAGAAATACATTGAGTAGCAGCATCAGTGTAGACTGGTGTGTCTCCCGTCCTCGCTCTTAGGCAGACTGATCTGTCATGCTTGGAAATCTCCTTGGCTTGCATCTTAAGGCTCATGAGTATTTACATCATGTTTGTAGATCTTTCTTTTTCTGGATGCAAACTGCTCTCTAGAAATGCTTTTTTTTTTTTCTTCTTCTTGTACTCCAGTAGCAAAATGACATAAACATGGTATTGAAATGAACAGAAACATCTTTGTTCAAAAAACCCCCCAAAAAACACTGAGTATTAATAGTCTAGGGTCTAGGCCATAGGTGTCAAACTCTGGCCCGCGGGCCAAATTTGGCCCGCAGCCTAATTACATTTGGCCCGCGAAGCCAAACCAAATTATTATTAGAGCTGGCCTACTGGTATTATACAGCTAATATATATATTGTTTAGTATTAAGCTTTGCTTGTTCCATATTCAGTTTTTCAGCAAAACGTGTTTGAGTCCATAAGAAAAGATTCATTCTTATATCTGGAGGAATAAATATATTTCAATAAATATTAATGTTAGCCCGCGACTTTGTTCCAGTTGTGAATTTTGGCCCACTGTGTATTTGAGTTTGACACCCCTGGTCTAGGCCGTCGACAACGGTCCTCCGGAGTTCTCGGTCCTGAGCCTTATTGCAGCACCAGTGTTGCTAATTTTCAAATTAATGCTGAAATTTGTTCAATAAAACTGGATGATAATAAGTCTGCCAACGTGGGTGGGGAAAAGATTGGCTTTTGTAATGGGTGTCTGCATTACAAGAT